AATTGAAATAGGGATACACTAATTCTGATTTCGATTCTTGATTTGGAATCGACTGGAACTTACCTAGAATTAGTTAGGAAATAAAGTTACCATCAGATAATCAGCTTTTCTCATAAGTTTTGTTTAGCCAGTGATATTCTGTCCACACTTGCTAATATGTTTCGACCCACAAATGTCATTAGATGATCAAAATTTAAATTCCAGTCAGTCCTAAAAAGCAAAACTGACTGGAATTGGAATCAATGTATCCCTATATTAAAACGTATTGCATAAAGGTCATAACTCAGCAATCAATTCATCTAATTTTATTTCTAGAAAAAAATGATTAACTACTTCCATCAGGAACAAATCTTCATAGCTCTTTTATATTTTGCTTTAGTTAATATAGGTACATATCTATATCAAATAATAATGTAAGTTTATCTAATTGATTTTCACTTAGCCATGATAAAGTTTTACCTAGTGATTCACTCAACAAGCATTGACTTAGAGTAAGTGATTTTAGATTAGGATAACGAAAACCTTCTCCCAAATTATTATCAAAAAGCAATTCAGAAATAAGGTCACAAATATTAGAATTTCTTTCATCAAAATGCATATATCGAATAAAAGAAGCGAAAGATAATGTTGATATATTAAAAACTAATGGGAACAATATTGAAGAGCATTTATTATAGGATAAACCAGGTTGATTACAAACAATGCCAGTTTGATCTATTGAAAAAGTTGAACGAATAAGAAAATTGAAACGAGTATTTAATGACCATAATTATATTATCCTTTCAAACTATAATAAATTACAAAATATTAAAATAAGAATTTGATTTGGTAATGCTTCTAATTTACTAACCATCTTATCTAAAACAAAATCAATAATTAATCAAAACATAGAAACCATGTGTACCTCACTTTTCAGATTTTATCACTATTTACATAGCCTTACAAAGTTAGACAAGAAAAGAATATTTTTGTTCTTTCAAAATTGTGCTATTACTTTACAATTTCAGATAACTTTTAACTAATTCCTTTTAGAAAATTAAAAAGTTGAAAAAAACTCTAAAACTAACCGATAAGGATATATTTTCTATATGAATATTGGTTGTTCTTTAACTTCATCTGATAAAAACCTAATAAAAAAAAATCATTTTCAACAAATAGAATAATCAGGGGTGCAGAATCTGCTGAAGTAACATAAAAGTCTCAAAAGTGCCTGACATTTACTTGCAGCATTTTCCTGGAAATAATTCAAAAAAGGTAGCAAGAATCTAGTTTAAAAAGCCGAAAAGGAATTACACTTAGAGTGTGGGTGTATGGGTGTGGATGTAGATTTATCTGTGGAAGCGATTCACACCCACAGCCACACGTCCACGCTCACACCTACACTGTGTTTCGCTTAGAAATTTAATCAATACTAATAATTGCTAAATCAAAGTTCTGACTAATTCATTAAAATGAATAACGAATAAACTAAGGTATATGTCCTGTGGATGTATTTATTTCTCAACAACATCTCAATACATACATATAATACAACTCACTATGACAACAAGGAAAAAGGAAACGAGAAAAATAAATATGTTTATTTCGACGTCAGACAGTATTTATAGTTTGAATTTTTCTAAATATTTAAATGTAAATTACAAGAAGAAACGGCAATATATTAATATTTTTGTTTTTTGCGTTCAATGATTGTCGCTTAGAAAGTAGCTCGATGCAAAGCATTAGTTGATCTTTAGGATGAGGTTGATCCTAAAGGTTTTTTCTCAATGATTTGAAAATATCAACAGTCAAGGATCATTTGGAATAAGTTTTTCAACATTTTATTATTATTTTATTTTATTTCTTTTCCTTGCAATATAACAGTGTGGGTAGGTGCATATTAATCGCGACGAAATGCGAAGTACACCCTCATCTACGCCCACACTCGCACACACCATATTGCAGAAGTTGTGAGACCTGCCGAATGCGCAAGCAAGATAGAACGTCACATGTACCTTGGATTTGCACTTCCACCTGTCAACTATTTCAAAGAATATTCTCTTTATGAATTGAGTTTAGTTTAGAAAGAATGAAATCAACGAGGAAAAGGAATAATTTCACTATTTGTTTGAGAAATAAAGATTTTGGAAGGGTGTGGGCGTGGCTAAGCAGTATTTACACTGTAAAGGTGCATCCAAGTGGGCCGATTTATGCCAGTGTCAAACAACCTTAAAACAGGGCGCAGGTTTTCTGATGCTGTTCATCGAGATACGCAGTTTTCAGAAAAAACTGCAATCTAGTGACGGTATAGTACGCATATTCGCCGCAGAAAACCGGCGTTCTACTGATAACTTTCGTCTAGCTCTAGTAGCATCAGTTGTACGTGCTCATGTAGACTTTTCTAATTCGACTGTTGTTCATATGTCGTGGAACTATGTTCTAGCTAACTCATGTGTGGCATGAAACTAGACTACCTTAGCAACAGTCGGCGACGAACACTTCTAATGTGATTCAACGAAAGACTTTTTCGTTTGACTCGCTGTCCAACATCAGAAACAAATATTTGTATACCTTAACTATATGGCAGTATCGGTGTGTAGTTTTCTATGGATTTCCCTTCAGAAGTAAACTTATCATACAACACTATGCGACGTTCACAAGCAAAAATACTATACCCGTGAGTCTATGATTGATAGGACACACTCTAATCCTGATAGAGGACAATACATCCTATACTCTACATCTGTCAATTTTCATGCCTTCCCTTCCACAACTACTTTAGGGCGAGTACATAATTACAAAAGTCAGTGGAATATCATAAACTAACAAGGCCATTGTTTACGATTTATCATAATCTTGACTTTAACTTTCGAACTGTGTTAAAAGCAGCACTTTTCAGCACGCTTTGAGATTGAAGAACTTGGTAGTTATGAATTCTACATCCTGTTATCGCAGGCAGAAATGTGCTTTGAATAGGCCGACGGACTGTTTCATCACATGAGCTCTGAATTGTTCAAGAAAACCATGCATGTGCATTGAAAATGATTTAGTGGTGAAGGGAAACGTATTATTTGTAAGGTAGAACTGTATGTTATGGGTTAGTTAGCAGAATAATGAAGGTAAGTTAAGTAATGATGTCTTCACTTGTTTTTCATTCTTGCCAGAAAGAGAAAAACATTCACTCTGAAAGAAGCGACAAAAAAGCAGCATATATGGCAAGGAGACCTATTTGACAGCAGGTAACTCAGCAGAACGGTGAAAATCAAACAAAATCTTTGAAAGAATATTAATGTAACTCATGTCGTTATTCGTTTGTTTTCGTTCCTGGTTGGCAATCATATTTTCTATTGAAAGTCGGTAGTGTTTGTCGTTGAGTATCAACTAGAAAAAAAACCACTCACAAACTGTATACGTTGACTGTAACAGTAGAAAAAGAAAGATTTCTGTTTCAGTGACAGGTAATTTTTCATGATCCTCAATTGGCAAGCAGATAAAAATTTATTCTGATCATGAATCCACAAAAAACAACAGTTTCATCAGCTCCCATGCGACCAAAACGGCGGATGCTTCAGAACTATTTGGTCATTTGGCTCGATGACGACTTGCATCCATCAAATGAAGATTGCCAATATACACTGGCACAATTGCAAAGCGTCGCCAATGACATCTACACATTTACACAACGGGATGAATGTGTTGACTTCCTCACTGACATTGACGACCGCCAGGTTTTCCTTCTTGTATCCGATACTCTGTGCCAACAAATTATGCCACTCATTCATAACATTCCTCAGCTGGAAACTGTTTATGTTTATTGCAGCAGCAGTACTTCACGTACAAATTGGAGCACCAATTGGAAGAAAGTTAAGGGTGTGTATACGAAAATCCCCTCTATCTGCAAAGATCTAGAGATGGCCAGCAGAGAATGTGTTCTAGATGATATCTCAATGAGCTTTGTTAGTGTCAATAAAGATGGGTCCAACCAAAATCTCAATCAACTAGAACCAACATTTATGTATACTCAACTATTTAAAGAAATTCTATTACAAATCGACTATGGCGAACATGCGAAGAAGAACTTCGTTCGATTCTTACGAGGCCAATATGTCAGGAACATCCCTAAGTTGAAAGACATTGCTGAATTCGAACGAGACTATAATCCACAATCATCAATTTCCTGGTACACTCGTGAGTGTTTCATTTACGAAAGGCTCAACCGATCACTACGAACACTGGAAGCTGATGATATTATAAGAATGGGTTTTTATATTTGCGATTTACATCGACAAATCGAGAGTTTGTACAAACAACAGCTTAGTCTATATCACGGGAATAGTTTTCAAGTTTTCCGAGGGCAGCTCTCATCAACAGAAGACTTCGCTAAATTCGAGAAAAACAAAGGTGGACTTATCTCTTTTAACAACTTCTTATCTACCAGTAAAAATCGCGATGTCTCCTTCGGTTTCGCCATAAGTTCTTTAGGAATCCCCGGTACAGTGGTGATTCTTTTTCAAATGTCCATAGATTCCAATATATCATCGACACCGTTTGCCTCCATCCGGGAAGTGAGCTATCACCAGGATGAAGAAGAAATTCTTTTCTCCATGCACGCCGTTTTTCGCATTGATGATGTTAAAAAACTTGACGAAAATAGTTTATTTTACCAAGTGGATCTCAAACTTACGTCTGATGATGACCCTCAACTCCGTCAACTCACCGCAACTATACGAGAAGAAACTTCAGCTACGATAGGTTGGTCCCGATTGGGTGGATTGCTCCTTAAAATAAGTCAATTCGACAAGACCGAACAATTATACACCACAATACTCGCACAAACAATAAATGATAGTGATAAAGCTCATATCTATCACCATCTCGGATACCTAAAAAGTGACCAAGGACTTCACAAACAAGCAGTTTCATTTTACGAGAAATCACTCGAAATCTATGGTAAGACTCTTCCGGATGATCATCCGGCAGTGGCCACTACCTAAAACAACCTTGGGGAAGTGTATCACAAGATGGGTGACTACTCGAAAGCATTTGAATTGTATAACAAAGCACTTAAAATAAGAGAAATAGCTCTGCCTCCGAATCATTCCAATTTGGCTACTTCCTACGGTAACATCGGTGCAGTGTACCGAGACATGGGTGACTACTCGAAAGCATTCGAATTTTACAACAAAGCACTTAAAATCGAAGAAATAGTTCTGCCTCCGAATCATCCCGATTTGGCTACTTCTTACAGTAACATCGGTGGAGTGTACCGAGACATGAGTGACTACTCAAAAGCATTTGAACTTTACAACAAAGCACTTCAAATAAGACAAATAGCTCTGCCTCCGAATCATCCAGATTTGGCTACTTCTTACGTCTGCATCGGCTTTGTATATAACAGCATGGGTAACTACTCGAAAACACTTGAATTTTACAATAAAGCACTTAAAATAAGAGAAAAACTTCTGCCTTCGAATCATCCAGATTTGGCTGCTTCCTACAATAACATTGGCATCACGTATTGTGGCATGGGCCACTTCTCGAACGCACTTGCATTTTTAGAAAAATCACTCAAAGTAAGAGAAATAGCTCTGCCTCCAAATCATCCAGATTTGGCTGCGTCCTACAACAACATCGGCATGACGTATGGTAACATGGGCAATTATTCGAAAGCACTTCCATATCTGGAAAAGGCCCTTGTTATTTGGAAAAACTCACTACCACCTACACATACTAACATTACAACAGTGATAGATAATATTAACTATGTGAAAAAGAATTTAGTTGGTTAGACCCCATTACTCTGCAGTTTAGGGTGAGAATCAAACACAATAAACATATAAAAAAAAAAAGAAGAAAATAGAGAAGAATGAAAAAAAAGAAAGAAAAGAAAAGAAGAAAGACATGATACCCAGTCAGACAAGCGTTGAAAAAAACGGCGTTTTTACGCGTAGAAAACGAACATTTCAACGTTTCATGAAATGTAACTTCTGCTCGAAAAATAAAGCAACCTTGTTAATAGCAACATCGTGAAAATAATTCTTTTACCCAAGAATAAACGCTTTTTACGCGTAAAGGGTGTGGATGTGGGTGTGGAGTGTGTTTGTGGGGGTGGATGTGGGTGTGGAGTGTGTTTGTGGGTGTGGATGTGGGTGTGGAGTGTGTTTGTGGGTGTGGAGTGTGTTTGTGGGTGTGGGTGTGGGTGTGGGTGTTGATGTGGGCGTGATTCTTCTCCTCATCTATACCCACACCCACATCCACCCACACCCCACACCCACACCAAACCCACACCCACATCCACCCACACCCCACACCCACACCAAGCCCACACCCACATCCACCCACACCCCACACCCACACCAATACGTTCTGATAATGGTTAAGATAAAATCAGAACTTGGTGCTCTTTACGAATTAAGGTTTAGATTTATAAGATAATCACTAATAGGTTCAAAAGAAAAGTACGGAAGAACACAGTTACATTGACAAATCCAGAGACGGAGAATATGATTGTATCGCATTTGATAATGGTACTATGATGTTTTTTCTAATTTTTTTTGTCGATATCTTCGTATCTTTGTCGTAAAGACGTTAATTTCGCTTACGAGAGAACATTTTTGACTGTCCAATAGCTTTTGAGTTCGGACTCGGTACATTACGTAGACCCTATTCAAATATGAAAAACGTCAAAAGGCCAAATACCCTTAGGTCTTCTGCCAAGACTTATAGGCATTTTACTGCACTTTTGGCCTATGGTATGGTATGCATAAAAAAACTGAAGTACGATAGTTCGAGTTGAGGGTGTGGGTGTGGATGTTCTCTTCATCCAAACGCACACATGCACCCTATTAAGCTTTATTTCGATATATTTTAAATAACCCTCTGTATTTTCTTGAGACATGAGATATTCTCTTTCAACTCACAATAATATAATATGATATGAAATGTTTTTCCTATTGCTCGTTGATTCGAATTACCTGAAAAGAACAAAAAAAATCTGTTCTACTATCTTTATTACATTCTCTTGATATCTGAAGTAAACTAATTAGCACGTGTGTTCCTCAAAGAACAGTAATAACTTATACTTATTTCAGTTATATGCCACTTGAAAACTACTAATAGACAATATATCGATAGATACAATGGATTATTTAAGTCAAATAAACTGATGTGCTACTTGTTCTTTTAATTGAAAAAGTTTTCTAAGATTATTAGATTTATTATCAAGGAAAACATAGATGTTTTATTTTAGTTCGAAAATTAATATGATATCATTTAAATCGATTCTTTTTTTCGTCTACTTTTAATATGAAATTCTTTTTTTTTTATCTTCAATATGATTTTTATCATATATTTTGACTTAAGATGAATTCTAAACATTTTAAGAAGAAATTAGAACAGGATTAAGTACGACATTTCAGATAATGTTGTCAATGAGAAAGATAATAATACCAAAGAATTATAAAAATTCTTACATCTTAACTGAGTAAAAAATTTATTTTATTACCGAATTTGGGTTCAGAAGTTTAGATTTTGTCGAGTTTGGATCTATAACCAGATTTATCTTCTGATCCGGTTTGCATTAAGCTTCGAAATCGAACAGAGCTATCTAAGAAATGACAATACGAAATAACTTTATATTGACTTTTTCGCTCAATGTAACAAATGGTTGGGTACTTCATCGCCGAAAACTGGGATCACCATAACTCTCATGCGGATGTACCACTGGCTTTCAATGATACAATGTTCGGCGAGGAGCACACGGATCTTACAAATAAATATATAAACTCTGAACTCTTTTCATCTTGTAGCCAAATAGTTCCAAATATCAGTGGAAAAAAACGGATCTGGACCCCACCCGGTGTGGATCGAGTTCGCATTGAAAAGTTAACTCGTTATCGGATCTCAATCAGGGTGCAGATCCGAGTTCTGATGCAAAAAAAATGGACCCACGGTTCCTTAATGTTGAATGAACTTCGGGTAAGACCTTGTGAGATAATTCAACACGTCATTCGCTATACAAATGTTAGAATAAAAAATTCCTGCAAAACATTCTCGTCTTAGTTTATAAAACAGAGATTTCCGTAGATGAAGATATAATTTAAACCACATAGCTAGCTGTTCTCTTTACTTTTCTGCGTCACAGTTTGATCCAGATAAATCTTGATGAACTCATTTTCTTCATTTGAACTATTTTTAGTCAATCCGTAGTCGGAACGTCACGTTCTAGACTATCAAGATTTGCAATACACATGAAAAACATTTCTACAACTGAAATATGTTCCTGAACAGCGGTGGCATATTTCTGCGCTTCCATGGCAAGCTAATTTTTACTTATGATAGAAAAGATTCTAGCTCTGCGGAACAAGTTTTTGAAATTGTAGAAAGTCATCAACACCGTGCTATCATCAGAATTTTAAAAGAAGACTATTCGGCAAAACGCTGATAACTTTTTGACGCAGATAGCTAGAGACATGCGGTCTTCACCATTCGAAAGAAAAGATCGAGGAACGTTACCGGCCTCTTTCAAATGGTGAACACTACAGGTCTTCAGCTATTTGTGTCAAAAAGTTATTAGCATTTTGTCGAATGGCTTTCTTTTAAAATTCCGACAATAGTATATTGCTCTTTATCAACATCTTAACAATCTTTGTATAATTTCAATTCCGAACAAAATTACATCCTTAGATAAATAAAAATAAATATAAACAATTCACTGTTTAAACTATCGAACATTTTCATTTTACACCTCTAAAATCTATTCTAAACTCAACTGGCTTCTGAAATGACCTGCCACATAATACACTTCGTTACATTGTTAAGTACTGAGCGCCATCTTTCGATCTGGTTGCTTGTCTTGAAGGTTAATGCAATGATGAAATGGCGAATTTTTTTGTTTGTTTAGGGTCATCTAGACAATGACGCTAAATTTCTCAACAACAATGATATTACTATACATAATTTCATTGTATTTGATATGCTCACGAAACAAAAGGCAGTATTTGTCTCTTTTTTTAGATATATTAAATTTTATTCATTATTTCGTGCTTTAAAAAAGAGAGTAAGTTTTTTCTAAGAATGAATTTCATTGTTTGTAAAAGAATAATTTTATTAACGATTTGATTAATTATTCTTTCCAGAATGACTGCTACGTAGTCCGTGCACAACCACATACATTCGTTTTTTCTCCCCAAGTCAAAAAAATCAGACGTAAGATCGTGCTAGATCAGATGAAATCGTACAAAAGATCGCGGTCTCATAAATCTACACTAAGTTGTACAAAAAGATTTTTGAAAGATCTTGCCATGGTAAAAGGTTTCCTTTAATCTTATACTGAAGGATGTCCCAAAAGTTTCGACCCCTCTTTGTAAATTCATGTTATCTATATCAAATAGATTTATAGGTACTTGATTGAAATATACCAATTTGTAGAGAATGAGAAGAGCTATCATGTGAAAAAAAATAATTCAAATTGTGTCCTAGTTATGAAAAGTTATGACCATTTTATTCATGATGACTAAGCATTTTGCATGTTACAGTTTTTGCAAAAATAAAATATGCTTGTAACGTTTGAAGCGAAATATCGTTTTCTAGATATTTTTATATGGTTCGATAGAGTTTGACGAGCTCTGCAAGAATATGAAAATCAAAAAAAATTCCGATACTGTTTTCAATACAAAATTTGGAGGGAACCAGAAAGATTCATATAAGTCTCACATATCTTGCATTAGAGAGAATATGCGGAACTTTCAATAACTTTAGCTAATCGACTGTTCCGTCTGCTCATGAAGCTCAGAAAGATTACTTTAAGCTTCACAATGTAACTGTGCACTTCGAAACATAAATTAACAGTCGATCAGCTAAAGTTATTCAAAGTCAAGCATACTCTATAATGCAAAATATAAGAGATTTTTGTTAATGCCTCTGGTTTCCCACAAGTTTTGTATTGGAAAGAGGATCAGAATTTTTTTACCATTCATATTCTTGTAAAGCTTTTCGAATTCTACCGAATCATATAAAAATTTCTAGTAAAAAATATAGAAAACAATGTTTTAACCAACTTTAATGACTCATACCTTAAAGAAGCTTTTTATTTTTGCAAAAACTGTAACATGCAAAATGCTTAGTCATCATGAATAAAATGGTCATAACTTTTCATAACTAGGACACAATTTGAATTATTTTTTTCAAATGATAGCTCTTCTCATTCTCTACAAATTGGTATATTTGAATCAAGTACCTATAAATCTATTTGATATACTTAGGGCATACCAAAAGTAGTGAGAGTTACACTTTAGTACCGTATAGTAGACTTAAAGAAACTTTCTTTCTATATAGCCTGATAGAGAAAGAAAAGCTCTATCTTTCTATGCTATTTGATCATACTTCAACTAATATTATAATAATTAAATTTCGATAAGATGTGTTTCGTTATCATATGTGCTAGTTGTATTAATATTCATTATAAAAAACACGAGTTAGTATTTTCTGAATAACTTTTGATGAAAACAAGATAGAGAACTGCGGTTTTCACCGTTGGAAGGGGGAGATGAAAACGCATCGAATCGTATATTGCAGAT